GACCTCCCCAAGGTCGTCTTAGAACGTGAATCCAGATGACGCTGCATGCTTTTACACACTGTAGGGCATTTACATAGCAGATTTAAGACTCCTTCCTCCTCTTCGTAGTCCTTAAAGCTTCTGCAACACCTTCGGAAAGGCACGCCGAGCTTTTCTGCATGTTTATCTAATAGACAGTGCCCGGTTATAACTCCCACAATGTTAGATATATCCTCTCTTATAATAGAGTATACCCTTCGTGACCAGAAAACACCCCCTTCTACCTTACCGTTGGAGTTTCGAGCCATCTATACAGATGACAATACTGCCGGGTGGATTGTTAATATCTTCTTTCCACTCTTCCGTGCCGTTTTCGAAGCGCTGCGGCCTGTGCTGTTCGGAATGAAGCAAAATTTATTTAAGATAAAAGAGTGTCCCTGCGCTTCTGGTTGCCGTTGGGATGCCTCTTTAATGTAAAGAGCAGCGAGCGTTGCCAACTGCTGTCCTGCCAAAGTTAGTGGCAGAGTGCCTCAAATAGCATTGAGACTGAACCTTTTCGCCTTGGTTAGAAACCTGAGGTTTACCTCTTTATCTAATACAGGCCACCACATGATCCAAATATGGAAATATGATGGAAATATCCATCGACAGATCCGCTTGATCCACGGCAGACTCATTCTCGCAGAGACTTCTGGTGTGGACTTGCAATGCTCTCTTAAACTGAATAAATTGGAGTGAGCCCACCAATTATCGCTACCTTTCCATCTTGACAAGATTGGTTACCTCTTCTCGCACAAAATTCGTTCTCGTTGTTCAGAGCGCACGAACGAGCGTATAATAAGGATTGAGTATGAACGCGCTATTCTAACTGTACATATATCTAGAAAGCCAGCCTTCTCATTTTGACTAGCCTTACACGAGTAGCTTTATGTTTTCTATACACAGTTTTAGTTGATAGGAACTAGTACGAATGTGGTATATTTACTTGCAGTCATTTAACCCTTATTACCATTTCTGGTGTTGAAAAGACTTTCAGCCAACACATCCTTCAGGAAGTAAGCACATTACTCAGAAGCTTTACTATAGTTGCTAACTTCCGGCTGGGTATATGCTAGCGGAATTATATGAAAGTAAGCGCTACTTTAATGCTATATAACATACTTTTTTCTCTGTTTATAATCCGTAGACTACAACAACACTCACCGAAGCTTTAGCACACTTACGCATTAACACCATAATTCATATAAAATACAAAGCGATGGGGTTAAGCGTTTAGCAGGCGCGAGGGTGAGGTGTGTGTGGCCAACAATTTTACTGCAATCAGGAAAATGTGAAAAAGTGCGCGTAACCTTTTCTGGAAAGAAATGTCACTTGCACGGCATAGCGCTGACTTTGCGGTTGGCAAAGAAAACACGCGAGCGCACACATAGATATACATAGGAAAATGCAGGCAAACAAACATGAAAACATGACTCATATAGGCATGTAAATGTGTAAATAGTATGTGCTCGTAGATTTATTGGCACACACCTAGTAGCTCAAGCATAGTAAGCCAAACGAATACACGTATGTACATACATTCATCCTACATCCTTCATCCAAGTGTTATTTAGCCGTGTCAAGTGTTGAAAAGTACCAGCAGCAACGGCAACGGCAACAGCAACAGCAACAGCAACATTAACAGTCAAGCGGCGAGAATTCACTTAAAAATAGACGCATTGTCGCGCACTTGATGACTGCATGCCACCCCGTAGTCGCTAACCCGCCACGCAGCCCTTAATCCACCGCGCAGTCTCCCCGTCCACTACCACTCTACTTTTACAGCGTCGCACAGTGGAAGAGCTCCATATAATTAATAAATTTTTAAAAAAAAAAAAGGTTGAATTGAGCAGACTGCCACGCCCACTACACTAGGTGGCGGATATATTGAATTCTATCCGATTTCAATGAATTTCCATTTGTGACTTAGATAAACAAAGGAAGACATAAATCTGAAAGATGGGTAAAAACGGTCAACTCCAACGCCCACCAGCCATCCGAATCCTGGATTCTAATGTGGCAAGGACTAGTAATGGACCTCCAAAATAGCAAAAATTTGGCAAAAGATCTATTCTTGTATAAAAACCCAGAAATATAAAAAAAAATATGTGTGGATTGGCCATCAGCCGCGGTTGATTTCAGTGAAACTCGGTTTGTAAGATACAAATTGATTTGATTAATAAAATCGGTTAGTATTTCCCGTTCCCGCCCACTAGGGTTGCCAACCGTACTATAATCTATATATATAATACGCGAAGGCATTTTTTTGTTCAGGATAAAAGATCTGCAAACTGGTTTTATTTTTTGGAATAGAGTTGCCACCTGTTGAACAATTAAATTCAAATTATTTCAAAATCAATGCCACCATATCAGGTGTCAAATTAAAAGGCTTGGACTGTATGGGCAATAAGGTTTTATTTTTTCGAAAAGAGTTGCCACCTTTTAAAAAATTATATTCAAATTATTAAAAAGGAAAAAGTTATATGAAACAACAAAAAATGTCAAACTATGGAGTGTTAAGAAATCTTTAATTTGAACGCTAAGAACATTTTTGAGACGTTGAACAAGGGTTGCCACCTGTTTAAAAAGTTAAATTCAAATTATTAAAATATGGTTATCAGTCGAAGAGGGTTTACAAAACTTTTATTTCTGAACTGTACTTAGCGGGGTTGCCACATGATTAAAAAATCAAATTCCACTTAATTCATCAGTTTATTAAAATATGTACCGAAATGTCAGGCGAAGGTGCGTTAACAAGGATTAAGCTTAAAAATACTTTTGAAGAGGGCGGCTAGCATTTGGAATATTTTTTAAGTTTTGAAATTAAGTTTTGGGCATTTTAACGCCATGCGGGTTCACTAGTATATAGTATTCTACTATTTTTTCAGTCTGCGTACTTTATACTGTTGGAAAAAAACACAGCATGCAAAAATACTATATATCTTCAGTTGTAAATAAATATAAAAATTTATATAAATATTTATTTGTTGAATGAAAATTATAATAAAAATGAACTTTTGATTTATATTAATTTACATTTTGATTGCGATAAATCATATGATACTTTCATAGTTATCAAGGAATTGTTAAAGATTGCCAAAAGTGCAAAGAAATATATTTTTTATAAAATAAATGCAATGGAAAGAAAAAATGAGGGTTTACGTTTCCTTTTAAATAAAATACTATATATATTTGAAGTGTACTATATTTTTCCTGATTTTTTTTTTTTTTTAAGTTTTTATTCTTGAAAATTAAACCACCGCCCACTATTGCGGGGAGGAAGGGCGAGGCTGTTCGCCAATCCCCAACATTTTTTTAAATTTCTGGCTTTTTATACAAAAATACGATCTTGCCCCAAATTTTTGCTACTTTTTAGGATCGTTACTAGTTCGTCAATACTTTAAGATACAAAATTCAGATAAATGGTGGGCGTGGCAGTTGACCGATTTTCACCATATTTCAGATGTATGTCTGCCTCGCGTAATACAAATTACAAATCGAATTTCATTGGAATCGGATAAAATTTACCATATCTGCCCTCTGGTGTGGTGGGCGTGGCAGTTCGACAAGTTTTCATACTTCTTCTTTTTTAGTGAAAGTGATTCAAATATCACATTTTAGTAAAATCAAGATACGTTCACTACCTTTTCCTGCAACTTTTATAGGGATCTGCGAGTGTGAAGCGGAAGATTGAGGAAATGGACGCAAGCGGAAGCAGCTGAAATTTGTCTGGCAATTACTTTAAAGCAGGGACCGTAACAGTTACAACTTTTATTATATAAATCGATCTATAACAATTATTTTTTAACTTCTGTTTAATTACTCCATAAATAACAATTACTTTTGATTTTTATCTAAATAATCTACGAATAACAGTTATTTTTGATTTTTATATAACATGTCTTAGACAACAGTTACTGAAGACTTTTATTCATAAAAGTCATCAATGCAAATCAGTTAGTGACTTTTTCTTATAAAAGTCATCAATATTAATCAGTCAATGACTTTTATTTTTTAAGTCATATGTACATATGTATTGATGACTTTTATAAGTAAAAGTCACTGACTGATTTTTTTTTTTATAAATAAAAGTCTTCAATAACTGTTATCTAATGCATATAATATAAAAATCAAAAATAACTGTTATTTCGTATTTATAAAATAATGTTTAGTTTTTTTTTTTTTTTTGCTCAAAAATTACAAAAACGAAATTAATTTTCAAATTTCATTCTCGGTGAAAGAAGAAAACGATTGGTATATTTCACTCAGTTGTAGAACATTTGCTTCATGATGAATTTTTCAACGACAGTTTTCAACAATAACTTTTATGTTCAGTCCCTGGTTTAAAGTATACATTCTCCCCATACTCCCCAGAATAAAACTAAAAATACATAATATTACCAAAATTTCCTTAACTCTGTAAGGACTAGGAAACATTATGAGGACTTGATTTGGAGCTACCCTTGCATACTATTGAACTTAATATGGCAAACGAAGACAAATCCGTTTTCAGTCGATCATTCAACTACCGTTTCTGAGCCGGTAAAATGCGTATTCGAGTTCCTATGGAAAAATTTCTCCTCATACAACACCGACTTCTTGTGTGTTTTGATAATTGCTAAAGCCATTTTTTCTCAGGAAAATACCGCTTAAAACCTGTTAAATAGTACATATTTAGAATCGAGTCAACCAATAGTTAAACACTGTGCGCCGCCACACTTACGCTTATTCCCAAACTAATAATTATGTAAATTCCCAATGTGAGTAGCGCTGCAGGCATTGGCTTTTGTTTTTCATTTCTAGTTGTTTTTTTTCACTTTTGATTCTTATAATTCCATGTCGTCGCTATGGTGTACAATACATACTTAGCGCCCTTTGCTTTGCTATTACGAGTATTAACGTTTTGTTATTGTATTTTTTTTTTTTCTTATTTTGTTGACTCTTGTTAACTTTTTCTCTACCTTGTTGTTTATTGCTTACAGAGTCCAAGTACTCGAGTGGTTTCAACAGTTGTACGTCCAAACAGAATCGTTCAGATCGGACGAGGAGTCACAACGTGTCCGTGAGGCGGGCAATAATTGCTATCGCAAGGAACACCATCCACTCAAGGCATGCGATCTGTATACTGAGGCCATATTTCTAGCGCCCGTCGAAGAGGATGCGGACAATACAACAGCGGCAATGGCACATGCCAATCGTTCGACAGTGCTGCATGATTACGGCATGTATGAGGTATGTATTAAATATTCGAATAGTAAATAAATGTGTGATTGATGAATTAGTGTATATATATGGGTAAATAGTGTGTAGATGTGTAATTGTGTGCTTTAGGTAAACACCTAGGCCGTCGTTCGATAAACAATTATTGAAATTATTTTTGAAGTTAATCGTTATTCCACTTCTGAAAAGCCACCAATGTTCACTTCACTAAAGTCTGCTGAAGCTTCTGCACACATGCAGAAAATTAATCATATTTCAATCAAATGTCACTTATATTTTTGATGGTTCTTCCCAATTTTGTCAACTCCGTGTAATTGAATGGATTTGAATTATCAGTTGTTGATTGGGGCTAACCAACGGAACGATACTTCCGCAGCTTTTTACAGCTGCGCAAGTATGATGCCATCAGATCCTGAAGATTTTAATGGCTTGAAAGAATTTATCACGCAGTCAGGCGATGGTCATCCAAAAGGTCAGAAAAAGCAGCACTGTCTCCACGCACTTTCCTTAAGGAAATTTCCTCCTAAATCCAGAGGATTCATGACACACTTCTACGTTTTCGAAGAAAGCCGTGCATGAAACTCTTTTCTATTCTTCCACTTGTAGATTCCCAGACAAACCTTATAAAGTTCCCAACCAGAAGGTGACTTACTGCTGCGGACTCTATTGAATAATCGCCTGCTTGACGGCAGAAAGCTCTACCGTCTGCCAAAGGCGTTTCCCTCTGCTTTCTGAAAACTCAGGAGACATGCGCTTTCAAGAGCATCTCGCGAGTTTGTGTCCAAACTTCCCCAAACTGAGTGACGCGAATTCGCATCGAACCCTGCAATAACACCATCTTTTCTTCGCTTGGCTCGACCTCTTCATCGTGCGGCATATAGGCGGATATTAGTCAAAGCTCCCCAGCTCCAGGGTGTTGGAGATTAATCTGAAGAATCTTCATTCACCAGAACCTCTCCATGAGCCCCTAGTTCCTACTTCGACCCTCCTTCAGAGGATCTGCTTCCAACTCTCTAAACGTCAACGTTCGCTCAACTTTCTTCGGCGCTATTGGAGCCTGGGGGTCATCAGCTTTGGTTCCGGTCGGAAGGATCCTAGTGACCCCCTTAGGAACATCGAGAGCACCGAGGGACGCTGCAATGAGCAATACCAGCACTTTCGGAAAGGCCCTAAGACCTCTCTAGCCAGATAACTCTCCAGTTTCCCCTCTAGCGACCTTTCTGGCTTCGTATCAGATAGCGTCGGAGTCACGCCGCCGGTTGCCTTCACCTGTGAGGCTACCGTAGACACCGCATCACTGAGCATATTTTTAACCCACTCGAGCCTTCGAGCATGCTGATCAGTTATTTGATCAGAACACTGCATGTCGTAGCGCTCTAAAATTTTGGTAGCCATGCGACGGTCCGAATGCGCGACAGGCCCCTGCTGGTGCTGACGGTTCCGCCAGGCACTACACCCTCGATACGCTATGCGATTTTGCACAGGCATTGACCGCGACTGGACGATTTCCGCTACTTTTGCCCGACATAGCCGACGCACCTAAAACGCCGGCCATGCAGGGCACACTTGTGCCCTTAGCGAGAGCCGAATTCGCCTACACGGGGCCATAACTTCCTCTCGGTATAGAGACGGCTTTGGGTATCGACACCGATGACCCTCCGCTTCTTGAAGCTTTGTCCTTGGCCAGCTCCGGTTTCCATACGACGCTGGTCGTGCAGGCCCCACCTATGGCGATGAGAGATGACTACTCCTCCTCAAAACTCCCAACCAGGGCAGAGATAGCTTTGGATGTCGGCTCCGACGATTCTCCGAGCTTGAAATTTGCGAATTTGTTTTGCTGTATTTTTGTTATTTTTTGTATTCATCTTGTTCGTACGACGACCTACCCGACGAGGAGGGCGCAGTGGTCTAAGTAATGTAAGGGCAAAATTAACAGTCCACCACGGCAGCGGCCCATGCCACAGCCAGGTTACCTTTACTCCCTGAGGCGGCCCGGTATCAGGAAGGCGCCGTAATGATACAGGCGGTGTGGTAAACACCCTGGCTACAAAAACCTCGGCGGGGTTGCGGCGCTTAACACCCTTGATTAGGAGGTCGGCAGTTCTTGGTCATCGTTCAAGAGCAGCTCGAACCAGAGGAAGGGAGTGCACTCGCCCAATACTCGAAGGTAAAGACACGATTGCACTACCACTAACTGATATAAACTGATCAAGATTCGACTAAGCTCCCGCACCAAGGGCAAGCAGCATGCCATAGCGAGAGCCAGCATGATGGAAATTCTTGAATTCATGTTGAGTTATTTTTTACGGGTCTTCATCTCAACTTGGCTCTCTCATGCAAAGCCGAGGTATATTATTCTTACTGTTTTTGTTTCGTTTGCGTAGATTTTGAAAACAACTAGGTACTTAAGTATTTAAACTTTTTTCTACGAAAGTTGTTTAAAAGAGACTACAAATCCTCTACTGCTACTCATTTTCTTCGGTTTACGAAGTTCGATATCTCGTCATCGCTTTTGTCATCATCTGCTACTCACAACCTGCCTCTGTTCTAAACCGAGCAGTAGATGTTATCCGTAAACTATACACTGTTCGACGCCCTAGGCTTTAGACACCTCTGAGCTCATTTACATTTCAACTTTGGCTCTATGGCTTTTCATGAGTTTTTCATAAATACATAGATACAGTTTTAGGAAAGATAACTTTTGGCCGGAAAGTATTGGCAGGTTTATTGCCATTTCAAATGGTTTCCGTTTCCAAGAATTAAGGTCCTCTAAAGGCAGCAGAATCCCTTTTTAGTTTATAAAGCCAAAAATTTAACCTGACGCTTGGCTTTTTTTATAGGATGGGGCAGCTCATTACCCTCAAATGGCTCAGTGAAACCAGGTTAAGCCTATTTAAAACCCCAAACCCAACGGAACCGCCGAAATACATTTCTCCAGGTGAGGAGATACGATTATTCGTATGTTTCAGCGCTCTCTCTTACATTCCAGTTCGTTTAGAACCAAGCGGGTTACAATTTCGTTGGTCAGGAAAATTTTCCGCCTAGGAAGAAGAATATGCATGACATTTTTTATGCACGAGGGAAAACGATTGTCCCTCCTTATGTTTGGTACTTTATCTTAACGTTGCATTATTGTCACCGAACCCAGCGTAAATACTTATCAATTCTGATGTGATCCTACGGATCCCTCATATTTCACAGGCTTCTGCATATTGTGAGCATCGCTTTTGACTATATTGACCAACAAAGAGGTCATTGGCTCCTTAACTTTATACGGAACTGTTTGGTACCAGAGGCCTATGGGTCGATTCACAGACAGTTTTTTAAAGTTCACGACCTAGCTTTTAGCTAGCTTTTCCAAACTTTTTAAAAATATAAATTAAATGGAGTCCATGCACAGCAAAAGTGAGTTCGCTATGCTTTTCTTCAGACTTAGCTAACATTTCTTCTTTTTCTTGGAGGTTTTCTGGTTCCACCGGTACAATATACTGAGATTATGAAAGACGTGTACGATGACAAGCTGTTCAAAAGGGCTCTGAAGGCTACCACAAAGGCTTTGGTATCGGATGACAATTGTTTCCAATTTTTCTATTGTACTCGTGTTTGAGATGAGATGAGATGAGAGATCGTTAGACCTCGGATGTACCTCGGATGTTTGCATACATTATGGTGTTTATAAGCAGATGTTTTCCGTGAGCTTCTATTTACTATGATTGCTGATAGCATGCCGTTTAGCTGATAGTTGTTCATACCAAATTATATATCCCGACGGGTTTTTCCTTCATGAAGCCCACAGCGGCACCTGCCATTCTAAGTTTTTAAGCCGCTTCGCAAAGATTAAGGTTCATTTGTAATATTAGTTTTGCTTCCTATTTCTGTGGGTGCTTTTGAAGTTCGCTGCTTCGTAGTCCATTCCTAATATTCTACACTTATCCCTGCATCGTTTCGAAATCGCCACGAATAGCCCATCCTCGTATCCCATATACGCGTGATGAATTACGAATTTGATAAAATCTTTCACGCGATTCATACCCGTATTTCAAGTCATTAATTTCCACTAAATATTCAGTGGTCAACTAAGCGTTGCTAATGTTTGGCTTTACAACGGCTAGACGACCTTGAACGGCGCGCACCTAACACCACAAAGAAAAGTCAAAGCTATGTTGTTTCAACAGCGCTCCTGCAGCTAACCGCCTGCTGCATAGCCCACATACGCGCGCTTTCGTGACTGTTGTATTGTTATCGCAATTTTAACATTGCTTTCATCTTTCATTTTGCCTTCATTCTTCGCGCTAACGATGGTTTTTCACATTCTTACTAAATTTTTTTTTTTGTTTTTGCCATTGAAAATTAATTAATTTCTGCTCTCCACTTAGCTGCACGTGAGAAAATTTTCTAAGTCGTGTAACTGCTAATTTTCCGCTGCTCATTTTGTCGTTTACCAGTAGCGTAACTTATTTTTTTCTATGTTTTTCTTACAGGAAGCCTACGACGATTGCTTGTGCGCCCTGGAGCTGGGCTATCCCGAAGAGTATAATGCGTTGATCAAACTACGCCAAGCCGCTTGTGCCTTAAAGTTGCGTAATTTTGCGCTCTGCGAGCTGCATGTGCACGAGCTGTTGCACATGGATCTCTCCGAGGCATTTGAGGCGCGCACACACGAACTCTGGCACGAATGCGAGGTGCTGAAATCGGAAAAAATCGACATGGGCGTACAGACGGACGATGATCATTACGCGGCGATGGCGCCGCCACCGCAACACATATTGCACGGGAGTAGCAGCAATCGGTTAAAGGTCTACGAAGTGTAAGTTCTGCTAAATTGTTATAGATGAACTTTTTAACTTTCACGTCTCTTCTCTCGACGCCAGCGCCTGGTCGGATACCTCGAATGCCATTACAACGACGCGCCGCGCCTATTTGCGCGCCACCACAGACATTGTCCGGCACATGCCCATTTTCAACGAGCACGCTGCCGTTTTTGTGTCCAGCGGCCAAGCGCGCATCTGCGATAATTGCGCCATCACACAATTCATACCATTTCCATGCGACTACTGTTCGAATCGCACATCCGTTTATTGTTCGCGTAAATGTCGTAGCCAGCACTCCTCCATACATGTGCTCGAATGTTTCGCCCACCAGATTGAGCTGTTCGAGGAGTTTGGCGAGGCGTTCGCCAAGCCACGTCTACTGCAGCTCGCCTTTCGCATGCTAATCACCGGTTTGCCACAAGTGATGCCGCACTGCCGCAAACGGCCGACTGTCAACAAGATGTGGAACGCCTTCAATGGCATACTCACCGAACGTACGGACATACCCTATTCGGCGCTGCTGCGCCTCGAAACGCACCTCGACAAAATCGACGCTGAGACGACTGTTTCGCTAGCGATTGCCGCGCACATACTGGCCATCTACTTGGCCGAATGCACCGACTTCTTCGAGCACCTCGATCTCATGATGCCCGCCCCAATGAAGTTGGCACGCAGCGAATGGATATTGCTGTCCGCTGCGCTACTGCTGCGCCACATTGGCCAGCTGAGGCACAAGAATCTCATACACTGCCCGTCCTTTGTGCTGCCCGCAGATCCGCACATACTCTCGCCACTGCACGAGTACAGTCTGTGGTCGGCGGTGAAACATGTGCGGCAGGGCCAATTGCATTTGCTGGCCGGTGATGTGACGTGTGTCGCCTATGCGGTCTATCCGCAAACGCTTAGCCTGTGTCGGCAATCGTGCGTTGGCCAAGTGTATCGTAAGCATTCGGGTCGGCAGGTGAGCGCTTATGCGACCTGTGATATACTGTTGGGCGCGTGCATTACCAACTGCTTTGTCTATGCTGGGGACTATCGACAATCGTTGCACGAGACACGGAGGCAGGACCTCAAGGCGCGCGGCATCGACTGCAAGTGCGACAAGTGCTTTCGTCCATATCCGGATGAGGATTTTGTAAGTGCCAGCTTAAAAGATTATACATACTTGTGTATTTTATGACACTCGCTAAACTAATCGTTATGTTATGTTACGTGTGCGCCAAATGTACGACTCGTTCGCCTTCCCTCTCCCCATGCCCACTTGAATATCCGCCAACCACATAAACACAGAACCGCGCGCACACACACTCACGTACTAGTACGTAGTTCATCTAAACGTGTACTAAATATATATGTATTCATTTTGTTATTAATGTACATATATACAAACATACATACATACATACATGTGAACATATGTTTATATACTTGAGCCAAAGTAGCCGAATAAGTGTGAATAAGTGTAAAGTGTTTGTGTGCGTATGCAGTAGTAGCGATTATAGTTAATTCCACTTTTCATTGCCTCCATGTGGGTGTGTTTGCTCTTGATGTTGTTATTGAATTCTTTTTCTTTCATTTTTTGTTCTATGGTTGTTCTGTTCCGAGTTCACATGGTCGTATTTGTGTTTCCGTTTGCGTTTGTTTGCCTACTCTCCTTCTTCATGTATGTGCGTGTATGTGTTTTGGCATTAATGTTTAGTATGTGTGTATTTTGCATTAGTGATTTCGAACTGACTTGTGTTCATTCGATATTTCAATGTTTACATAGTTTTAGGCGTTTAACGGCATTCATGTTTCTATTGTGCATTTTTTTTTCATAAGCAGCATATTATTTTTCTTTACTTTCGTTTCCTCATCCTTTCCTTTTCGTTTCATCATTCACTTGTACATTCACATTGGCTTTTTTGTTAAAAGAAATCATATTTTTTCTTACACAATTTTTTCTGGCTACTGATTATGTGANTCGTTTCATCATTCACTTGTACATTCACATTGGCTTTTTTGTTAAAAGAAATCATATTTTTTCTTACACAATTTTTTTCTGGCTACTGATTATGTGAAGATTATACCAGCTGACTGGTTATGTTGCGTTAACATTTTTTTTTAGGAGATAGCTATTTTGAAACTTACTGCCACAACAACTACGCATATGAAGATTACGAAAAGCGATTTTTACAAACTAATCTACCCTTTGGTTTTTTTTTTGGTAGTAATTATTCAGTGGCATTGCAGGAAACTGAATGGCTGATGAAATGTATATCGGTTCTCGTGGCAACCTGCCGCCTGTTCATGGACTGCTNTTTTTTTTTTTTTAGGAGATAGCTATTTTGAAACTTAATGCCACAACAACTATGCATATGAAGATTACGAAAAGCGATTTTTACAAACTAATCTACCCTTTGGTTTTTTTTTTGGTAGTAATTATTCAGTGGCATTGCAGGAAACTGAATGGCTGATGAAATTACTAAGCACGGTGCTGAATCATTTTGCCTGACAGGGAATGTATATCGGTTCTCGTGGCAACCTGCCGCCGGTTCATGGACTGTTGGGCTTAGGGAGCACTTAGTCAAAATCACTGTAATAATGAGCAGTGGCGAATCGCAGGCTTTCGAAAGAGCTTGTTAAGTTGCACAAGCGCCAACTTTCGGTCCTAATAGATATGCTGTTCGAATGTTATCTAATAGAAACCCATGCGGAACAAGTTAATATCATTTAGGATGAGGAAGAGGTAGAATCCGTCCAGCACTTCCTTTGTGAATGTCCAGCACTCCGAAGAAAACGCCTCAAGTTTCTTGGGGACCATTTCTTAGGGAAAGCTCCACTGGAAGGACTGCTTGGATTCGCCAGAGAATACTTAACTATAGCCTCTGCAGTGACATTGTTGAAGGCCCCCTCAATATCGAAGAAGCCCCCTACTGCATAATCTTCATGCCTGAAGGCTTCTTCTGGCCACTTTACCAATGTGTGCAGGGCGGTATTCACCGACCTTTTCTTTTTTGAGCCTTTGAAAGAAAGTCTCTTCAGCGTTTTTAGCAAAAACGGAGAGACTGATAGGCCTAAAATCCCCTATGGGATTTTCGACACCTTGCATCTGCGCAGGTATGATGCCATCGGTCCCCAGCGACTTTAATGGTTTGTTTGAACGAATTTATCGCCCGGACCATGTGACGATCGTCCAGAAGATCGGATAAGTACAGAAACTGGGGGAAGATTCTACATGAGAATATAAGTAAATTTTTCCGTATACAAATATCAGTTAGAAAAAGTTTATCTAACAGCGGCCAAACACTTAGCAAAAGTACAAGCGCCAAAATATTACTAGTATAATTAAATATGTATTAGGGCTCCACTTGTTATCTCTCTTCAAACATGTTAACTTTTTAATAACAAATTCATAGAGAATGTGAATGAAAGATGGCAAGTGGAACACTTTTGCTAATCATATAAATAGTAGGCAAGGCATCCGCATTGTGACTGGAGGTCTAAAAAGGCATTGCATCATTGGATTACAAGCAACTAGAACTGTGCGCACCCTGGAATGAGCACATTCTCTGTTATTGCGCCCACCATCAGTGCGGCTTTACACCTGGCAAATCCACCATAAATCAGGTATTCACAATACGCCAAATCTTGGAAAATAGGCTCGATACACACCATATATTTTTAATTTCAAAACCGCTTTCGATAACACGAATAGAAATGGTCTTTACGCCGCGATGTCTGAATTGGGTGCCCCCGAGAAACTAAAATGGCTGTATAAAATTACTTTGCGCAATACCACCAGCTCCATCAGAATTGGGAAGGACCTCTCCAAGCCGTACGAAACCTTGCTCTATAAGTCACTCATCATACCCGTACTGGTAAATGGCGTAGAAGCCTGGACAACGGCGTCATCAGAGGGGGTGGCTCTTGGAATAATCGAGAGAAAGATTTTGCGGAAGATTTACGTGCCTTTACGCGTTGGCGACAGCGCNAATAATCGAGAGAAAGATTTTGCGGAAGATTTACGTGCCTTTACGCGTTGACGACAGCGAGTACCGCAAACGATGTAACGATGAGCTGTATGTGGTTTACAACGATATGAACATAGTGCAACGTATTTAAATACAGCGGTTTCGCTGGCTAGGCCATGTCATTCGACGCCGACGCTCCAGCTCTTCAAGTATTCAACGCGGGCCGCGATGCTGGTAACAGAGGACGAAGAAGCCCTGCTATGCGTTGGAAAGACCTAATGGAGAAGGACTTGGCTTCAGTTGGCACAGAAGAGGAGCGACCAAAATCGCTTAGACGGTTACAGAGCCAGTGAAGAAGAAGTCTGAATGGGGGCCGCTTTCCTGATGATTTTATGCACTAGTTTTTATTCTGATGCTTTAATCAAAGCTGGCAATATTTGTGGTAGCTGTTCTTGGAAATTGTTGTGAGCGATTCCACTTACCCTTCTTGGTTGACGCATTCATTCTGTCACTACGTCACTGCTGGTGTCATTTCAACGTTTCCTTACGAAAAAAAATAAACTGAAATAACCACTTTTAAATTAAGCTATTTTTTTTTCTTTTCTTTTCAGAAAAGTAAGCACTTTACAGTTTTTGCTTAAGACATGCAAATTTTTCCCCCATTGCAGACTTTAAACCGTTTGGAAAAGTGAAACATTTTACTTAGAACCATTTCTGTTTGAGACATAACATTTTTTCTTTAGACTCCTATTATAGATAAGCGTCAGATTTTTTATTTTTTTATTTTTTTTTTTGTTTGTTGNAGACTTTAAACCGTTTGGAAAAGTGAAACATTTTACTTAGAACCATTTCTGTTTGAGACATAACATTTTTTCTTTAGACTCCTATTATAGATAAGCGTCAGATTTTTTATTTTTTTTATTTTTTATTTTTTTTTTTGTTTTTTTTCTCATCACACTTCTTGTCTTGTCGTTTGTCGTCTTCTATGCATTGTGTCCTTTGTCCGTGTCAAATGTCTGATGTTTTCTTGTGTCACTGTCAATCACTGCCACTTGCCTGCCCGCGCTGCTGAGAACCACAAAATATATTTTACGAGGAAAAAATGTATGCTCAATGCGCTTTAACTTGGGCATTTTTGTTTTTTCCTTGTGCTTACATACTAGCTTTCTTTTTAAAGCACGCGTCAAAAAAAAAAACTTGCAATTTTTATTTCTTAATTATCCTTCTAAAATTCTGCTCTTCACTACGCTTACTCCTTTATACTCGCTCAACACTGACCGCCACTGCTGCACTAAATACCACAAACTATTGAAAAACGAATCCATCAAAAATGCTACACCAACTATTGCACCGATACCAATTTACATACATACATACATATTTTTGTTTGCACGTCCTTTCTATATACGACGCCGCACATACATACGTACACCCACATACCCACATACCCACATACATNCTTTATACTCGCTCAACACTGACCGCCACTGCTGCACTAAATACCACAAAATATTGAAAAACGAATCCATCAAAAATGCTACACCAACTATTGCACCGATACCAATTTACATACATACATACATATTTTTATTTGCACGTCCTTTCTATATACGACGCCGCACATACATACGTACACCCACATACCCACATACATACATACATACATACATACCCGCATACCCACATACCCACATACCCACATACATACATACGTGTAATCAAGTGTTATGAAATTACGAAAACCCCAAAATTTTCCAGCATAAATTTCATCGCTATCGCTGTGATAATCCAAAATGTATGCAAATATTCACACCACCCGCCAGCGATTTCAAAAATACACGCAATTTACGCTGGTGGCGCAGTCCGTATTACAAAAACCCCATCAACGAGGGCACCGATCTGCTGGTGTGCAGCGTTTGTGACGAAAGCCAAAAACTGGAATGGTTTTGGACCTTCAACGCTGCACTGAGCGACTGTGATGCGGTTGAGGTGCGTTGCAAGTTGTATGCGGCCGTTGAGCGGGCCGAAACGCAACTTGTAGAAATGCACGAATGCAAAGTCGCTTTGGCGTGTCAATTAGTCGAGCAATGTTTATTGATGCATCGAGGTACGTTGTTACATACATACATACATTATTTTGCAGTAACAATAACAAATAACAAATAACGAATAACAAATAACAAAAATAATCAATCATCATCAAATTTAATCATAATTATTATCGATTAAGTAAAAGTATATATTCATACATATGTATCTATCATAAATACTAGCNAAATGCACGAATGCAAAGTCGCTTTGGCGTGTCAATTAGTCGAGCAATGTTTATTGATGCATCGAGGTACGTTGTTACATACATACATACATTATTTTACAGTTACAATAACAAATAACAAATAACAAATAACAAAAATAATCAATCATCATCAAATTTAATCATAATTATTATCGATTAAGTAAAAGTAAATATTCATACATATGTATCTATCATAAATACTAGCTACTTATGTACATGCGAAACTATTTGTTTGTACTTAACTTTTATTGTATTGTAGAAAAAAGCTAGAATGTACTTAATTAGTTTTTTAGGATATTTTTACGCCGCATTAAGTATTAAGTACATTAGAGTGGTACTTAAAAATATGAAAATCTTTATTTTATATAGGGCATCCCTTATGTTCATTTTGTTCTATGTATTTTTCCATGTACCAAATAAGGACTTCCACTTCAAAATTTTAAAACAAATTTTACTAGTCGCTACCAAGGTCGCTACGTATTATTGAAAGCTATTCATATAAATTTATAGTCATCGCAAAATAAAAAGGTAACGACTTCTAAATATTACGGAGGACAAGAAATTAAAAAAACGCTAAAAGGTTCTCTTGAGCAGACCACGTGTTTGGTGTGTTTTTGGGGACGTTGAATACGACTTTGAAGTCCGTTTTGCTCACCTAGCCAGAGCTAGCCCCAAAAATCGTGGCGAACTATATGTGGCAGACAAAATTGTATACATATTGACGGATTTACTTTGTTCTTGGTATTCAGAGGTTTTCGAGGTCGTTGTTTAGGAATATGAAGTCAGCTTTTCAAAATCCCAAAATGGCGCAATAAAAAAATGGACATCTAGTAGTTTTCGAGATATGTAGATGATTACGAATTTGAAGTAAAATTTTCGAAATTCAAAATGGCGGCTCCAATATGGCGATCGCATTAAAAAAAAAAATTGAATTGAATTTATATAAACTTGGCAACCAGGGGTTTTAGAGGTTGCTGATTACGTATATGAATTCAGAATATCCAAATTCGAAATGTCGCATCCAATATGGTGGTCAAATTTTTACAAAAACTTATGAATTCCTATAAAATTGAGTATCTTTATATGTTTTTGATTTCTGAAATCGAAATTCAACAATTATTTTTCAATATTTCCACTAACCTTAAATTTGTAAAAAATTTCGATGGTTTTTGGGTCCTTTGTTTCTCTTGAAATTAATTTTTTTTAATTCGACAACCATGTGCTGCCATTTGGGATTTCGAAAATCTGACTTACAGGGCGATTCTGGCAACTGTCTTTCAACTCACCACAGTCTTTCGAAAGGTCTTTATCTATCTGTCAATTCTGACAACTGTCTTGAAAGCACTTTATTGTCTTTCGAAAGACAAATTGAAAGATCTGCTAACGAGGAGGCCTTAGCGTTATGCTTTTCACCTTTGAGCAAAGCGTTTTTTTAATGAAATTAAATTAAATATATGTAGTACATTTACATGCAAATATGTTTTTTTTAACTAATAAAAAGAAAATTTAATTTAAAAAATATAAAAATATGTAAAATGAAAATAAAGCAAATATAAATAAAAATATTTTTAAAAATTAAATAAATTTTTTTTTCTTTTTAAAACAATCAAATTTAAAAATTAATTGTAAAAAGAGAAAAATGTAATCAAAAGAAGAAAAAAGTAGTATGTACTTAAAAACTAAATAAAATTTAAAAACGTAGTTTTATTTTTAAAACAAAATCTAAAAATCAATAAAAAGTCAAATTAAAAACTGACAAAGAAATAAAATTGAAAAAATTGCACTGGATCCTAAAAATTAATTCAAATAAAACAAATATATTTTTCTTTTCAAATCAGTGATATATGTATAGCAATTAAAAACAGATTACCACAAGAAACACAAATTAAATTTTAAAAAACCAAGAAAGAAATAAAAAAAATTTTAAAAATTAAATGTAGTTAAAAAAATACAATACAATCCAAAATTTAAAAGAAAATTTAACTAAAAAAGTCATAAAAAAATAAATAAAATAAGTCCCTAAAAACTAAATGAAATAAAACAAATATATATCTTCTTTTAAAACAATGAAATACAAAAATTATAAGAAAACTAAATTAACAAAAGAAAAACAAATTAAATAATGAAATAAAAAAAAAATAAAATTTTAAATATTAAATGAAATAAAAAAATAGCTTCTCGTTTTTAAACAATAAAATTTAAAAGTTAGCAGAAAATTAAGCACATAAAGTTCCTAAAAATTAAATGAAATAGAAGACAATATATTTTTCCTAGTAGTACAATAAAAAATCAAATTGAAAGAGTGTTAATTGAAAAGAAAAAAAATTTATTAAAAAAAATATGTATATAAATTAAAAAAGTTCCGCTGCTCGGGGACTCACACCCGGATCTCTCGAATGGTACGCCCGTGCTTTGCTCACTCGGCCGTTGCGACTGCTAAATAATGTACAAGTGCTTTCTCTTAAAATAGCTTTTCACCACCAGCGGTGAGTAAGAGAGCTTTTTTTCTAAAGTTTTTTTTTCTAAGACTTTAAGCTATAATTGACATCCGTCTTTCGTTAATCTTACGAAGGACTTTTTACTATCTTAGCCATAATTCCTCTATTAATATTCGTAATCAGCGACCCCATAAGCCTCTAACTACCAATATTAAAGTAAATCCGTTAATATTTATGTATAAAATTTGATCTGTCACATAAAGTCCGCCAGGGCTTTTGAGGTTGGAAAAAATTCGGATTTTTTTAATTATGTATTTTATTATTTTAAAATTTTGGAATTTAGAGCAAACTGAATTGGTGTCCCATACAAAGCTATATTTTTACACGCCACCCTAATGTACATGTATAAAATATTATATATAAATATTTATTTGTATGCAGTTAGTACTGTAGCTGAGAGTTGTAGTTATGTAGAAAGTTGAGTTAGCACAAACGCGACAAGAAGACAAGTGAAATCCAAAGAAAAGAAAATTTTAGCGCTAAATTTGTATAACACCGAAGGGAAATTCTAAAGAAATTCTAAGATGATTTTTTTTTAGAAATGGAAGTTTTAGTTCTTTGTTTGGCTATGTATATAAATATTTGTTAGACTAGCAAAGCGTAAATCATGTAGAGCAATAGTGCGTATGTGAGGGTAAGTTGAAGGCATACAGTATCGGTCATATCAATAGCAACCCCATTTGAAAGTGATATTGTTTGCCACTCATGTTTATTTATTTATTTCTAAGAATTCTCATTAAAATACATATCTTTCTTTAACAAAACCCAAATAAGTTTAAAACTTTGTAGAAACCTGAAAAAATCTACAAATTTCCATCCCTATTTCAAACTTTTTGTCTCAGAAGGGTTAGATTTTTATTTATTTTTTTTTTTTTGAGTATACAGTTTTAGAGCCCATTCAATTTTAGTCTAATAATGTGGAAATTTCAAGTGGCTAAAAATTAGCGTTGATTTTTTACTATCAAAAACACTAAAACTTCTGCGTAAAAAGTTTGGAATTTAGATGGAAATTTGTTTAATTTTTTTTTTAGTATTCTGCAAAGCTTTAAATCTGGGTTTATATTAGTTTTGTTAGAGAATGAACTGTATTTTAATTGAAAATTCTTAAAAATAAAAAAATAAACATAAGTGACCAGCAATATGTAGAAGAGGAAGAAATACATTTTTTTTTATTTCAGTCGACTTATGTTTAAGCCAGTATTAGCGCAAACAAAATACTGTAAGCGGCCATTTGGCAGAGTTTCCTATCCTACGTCAGATTTTCACAGGGCATTGAATTACAAATAGTTTAAATATTTACTAATGTTCCACTTCTAAAATCGTCATATCAGTGCCTAGTGGAAATTCGATTCTTTAAAATATTTATTGGTACAGTTGTGCAGTTCTCAAGTGGCATATCCAATAATTAATTGAAGATGCAAGTTTTATCTAGCGATAAGCTTACTATCTATTTTCAATCTCTTTAAAAAAAATTTTAGAGTACCGTTAACTTTTTCATTTAGTGTGGGACCACATCTGAGGTACCATCTTTCCTTTAAAAAAACAAAGAATTATAGAAATCGGTTAACGTGGTCCAAAGTCATACATAAAAAAATAAATAAATAAAATATTCCGACGAATTAATAACCTCCTCCTTTTTTGAAGTCGACTAAAGAAAGCTTAGTTCACTAACCTCGCACTTTCTCCTCATATTTTTCTTAACTATATAGTAGAAAAGTAAAATTGAAAAGTCCTTTAAAGAATACATAGATTTCATGTGCATGGTGTAAGACTTAGTAAAATCGTACCCAAAGCACGGCTTACATGTGGACAGCACGAAAAATTCAAAGCTATAAAAATAGAAATTAGTCGGCATTCGGAGCTTTCTCTTTCTTTATAAAAATGCAAGGCCACATAAAAACCTAGTAGTTTTGACTGCGTATTCACGAATTAGTCCAACGACAATTAGAGCGAGCTTCTATCCTTGCGCGTCTATACAAAATTTATTGAAATCTCTAAAAGCTTTCTCTAGAGGGCTATGCAGAGATAAAGATTTTACTCTTTGCGCACCCATAAGTAATCTAAAGAAAGTTCTGGAAGGGTTCTGCCCGCGGATGCTATTTTTAGCAACACTGATATGGACGCACGTAGAGTAAAAGCTCGCCCTGAACGCCGCTGAGTTAGAGAGATAGTAAATATAAAAAGAGTGCATAAATTTCCATTGTTTCTGCGTACAGACTAGGGACGACCAGANGTTAGAGAGATAGTAAATATAAAAAGAGTGCATAAATTTCCATTGTTTCTCCGTACAGACTAGGGACCACTTTTACTTTGACCCGGAAATATAATTTTTGAAAAAATTAAATGAAATAAAATAAAGAGCTTTTTACACGAACTATGTTTAGGTTTGGACTGTAATATATAGACTAAGCCAGAGCAACTGACAGGACTATCCATGTCTGATGATTTGACGAAATTCTTTGATTAAACATAGAATTGCCACCTGTTTGATTACCTGAAGAAACGCAAATAATTTTCAGATCCATATGCATATAACAGCTGCCTTTTTAAGTCGAACCCTACGTTTTCGAAAACCTTTCGGACGAGAATGTTCTATTGAGTTAATTTGAATGACGCGTTTCTGTAGCTAAACCTTTCAGGTTATTCGTATTGCGCTTAATCTTGTTTTGACCTTCCAAGGAAAAGTGCTACAAAATTTCAGTAGAATGGAGTGTTTTATTTCAAATATGCCCGTGGAGAATACAGACACTTCTTTATTCTCTATCTATAAATTAATAAATCCACCCCTTTAAGTCCATCTTTTACCCACAATCCAGGTTATATGAAATTAATAGCTGGTCTTTTGGTGCCGAGATGAAAGAGGAAATATTGCAACCCTGACTATTCATAACACCAGTTTACTACTCTTATAAGCTCAAAAAAGTATTCCGGGGGAAAAGCTAGAGAACCACCAAACGATGTCGACCCTAGGACCAAAAAATCTCAATATTAGTCGCATCGAGTTTTTACGCTGATTAATCACTTTTAAGTAGAGAATTCAAGTTATGTGTATCCCCTCTAAAACATAATATTGCAAACTGTAGTAGAAAGGATTAAAAACTGTAGCAGTAGGCTTTTAAGAACTAAAAGTACATAATACTCTTATACCCATAGAACCAAAAAATGTAAGCATAGTCTTAGAACTGTGGCACTAAATTTCGTAATCTTAGAGTTAAAACAAAAACTAGGCCCTCAGTATGTACCTTTGAGAAACATAGAGTAGCTTTTAATTTTTTATACTAGCTACGCAAATCAAATATATGTACATTCACAAACATATGTATTTTTAATGCATTAAATTTCAAGACACGTCTATTTAAATCTATTTTTATATGTACCTATGTATTTTCAGTGCGTTACTAATATTAACTACGTATTTTCTATTTCTTTCTCTGTTTTCATATTTACGACTACGCGCACGAAACAATGATTTGTTCTAATACTTTCTATGCTTAAACCTATAATCTTATGCTACAAAAATTGTACCCTCTCTCGATACTTTTTTCCCCACTTATTCCTTAAATAACATCCTCCAACTTCTAACTACGCCTTACCTTTTTTACTCGAACGCATCACATCCACATCAACGAAACGATTCCGCTATCACAGAGGGGCAAAAACCTTTCGACGATTGGGAATTCAATAAGCTGGGCTCGATTATGCGTAATGCTCTCAATATTGTAGCTGCACAATATAGTGTCTTTAGCATAGAGTATATACAACACATGTCCTATTTTTGGGATATCATGGCACTTAGCAATTACAAATGTAGCGATAAGGAACTGATGCAAATGTTACAAGCACTCGAATACATACCGGACGAATACAAGGAGATCTTCATTAACTACTATGACGACTTCATAACACCGAAATTCGCTGAGGAAACCTATACAAGTCTTATGGATACGCAAGTTTAGGAATTCAACAGCTGAAATAGCGCAAAACAACTTATTATGTACTATAAACTGCAGAAAGGATCATAGCAAAATTACAACAAAACGGACTTTGGCAAAAGGAACAACATAAAAACTAAAACTAACTAAGAACTACATGNAAGTTTAGGAATTCAACAGCTGAAATAGCGCAAAACAACTTATTATGTACGATAAACTGCAGAAAGGATCATAGCAAAATTACAACAAAACGGACTTTGGCAAAAGGAACAACATAAAAACTAAAACTAACTAAGAACTACATGTAAGAAATATAAGAGCGATGCTGTAAATTGAACTCAAAAAACTCGTTACTCAGTACTCGATAGGTAAAACAAAGACATCCACACAAGCTACACACAAATAACAGAAAAGACCATAAGAACACAACCTTGACTGTAGTCTCATATTTAGGAAGGTAAAAATGTACTTTACTCGCTTACATTCTGTTTTTGGTTAGGATTTATTATACATAAAAATTGTCATTACGCGGAAATACTCGTTAAACAAAAAGCAAGAAAAATAACACTAGTAAGCTAAACAAATTACATACTCATAATAGGAAGAGATGTTAAATGACGCACTATTGAAGTTACAGAGAAGAGCAAGGTTAAGACAATGTCAGTGCAAATAAGAACACGAAATGCTGAAGAGTTGAGGAAATAGTAACAACAGAAACGGTCAAAGAAAAGAGCAGTAAAAGCAATACTCTGCAACAAAATTACATTCGTTAAAACTGCAGTGGGATATCGGAAAATCGTTGAGCACGCGTTTTTGCGATTTCAGTTTTATTTGTACCAGTTCTGTCTTTGGTAATCTGCTTTTCCCTGTCTTAAGGACTTAAGGCGTTGTTCATAAAAAAAAAATGTGGGTATAAAATCTAGTCTGCGAAACAAAGAGGTATGTAGCTGCACGCAAAATGGTGGCAATAGGAACTGTTTGGTTCAACAAAGACTCTGTGAATCCTGTCAAAACAAGAACCGAATGCACGGCTTTTGTTAATTCAATAATATTTAATCTTCAAACAAGTATTACTTTGAAAGCTGTCAAAAAAGTATACCCAGTGCACCTGAGAGGCAACACCTAAAAGCGCTATGTAGTATGTATGCGCAGAAGACTTTAGCTCTGTTTTCGTATTTTCCAGTAAGAAACTGTCCAGTAACTTGCCAGTAACCAAATTTGAGAGAGTAAGCTAACAAGAAAAACCAGCAAGAAGTTGCAAGTTTGACGAATAGCTGATTAATTTGTTGTTTTCCGAAGCAACTTTCTAAGAAAAACAGTATTTCCCATCGTATTATACATTTAAATAGATTTATTTTGTCAATTGCAACTATAAAAGCTCCACAAACAATTATTTTCCCAGAAGAAAATTCAGGTAGGCCTTCCTAAGTGAAGCCATTATAACAGCCCTACCCAAGAAGGGCTGAAAAAAGTGCTTCCATTGCATGCCTTCTAAAAGGACTTATCCATTTACAATTTACGCGATTGCAGAAATTTATATTATTTAGCATTAAAAATTTATTTCAATAAACATTTTAAGTTGCAATAACACATATTTAATATAAACCTTAAGCAAATACTTCAAAGATGTATGATTTTTATTAATTAAAGAGGCAACTTAAAAAAAAAACTGCCCCAAAAGGCCTGCTTAAGAACGTCCTATAAAAGCCCTTCTGGAAGGCCTTCTAATGGTAACGTCCTATAAAAGCCCTTCTGGAAGGCCTTCTAATGGTAGCGAAAGAAGAAGCCCTTTAATTTGTGTCACACTATACGAAAATGACAGGAGATAGGAATGTAGGGTGGAAGGCCTGTTTTTCTTAGTGGAAAATAATTACTGCAAAAAATTTTCCCATAAAAATACGGTAAAACTTGCAAGTTTAGCTGTCCTTTTTGCTATCTCAATGTCCTTCCTCTTTCTGGTTTCTGGCAAGTTTTTGCGAACGAAAACGCCAACGATAAAAACTGTTACCAGTTTTTGCTGGATATTGCATATTAAAATAGGGTTTTCATCTCATCATCCACCGGTGCTATAGTTTAACCTTGCGAAACGATTTTCAATATTCCACTGCTGAATTTTGCGAACACACATCTACATATATACATACATACATTCGAGTACATAGGAACAGATACAAATTCATGTAGTATATCTTAAGCCCTTTAATGAACAGAGCTCTAACGCGTTCTTTACTAGAAAATTCATTCAGTTCATAAACTCATATGCAATTTGCAAATACTCGTAAAAAAATAAAAATAAAACGCAAAAATAAGCAATCGTTATGAACTATTACACGCTGTTTAAAAGACAAAATGTACCAAAATTATGCATAATATGTATTAGAAAAAATGCGTTTTTGCAAACAGCAAATTTAGGGAGCAGAAAAAAAGGCTAAAGTAAAATACTGGATACATACTACATACATACTCGTATAAACTAAATTAATACGCCTAAAACTAGACCAGCAAAAAATTTAACTGAAACTGTTAATTGGGTGCTAAGGCATAGAATAATTGAAGCGTTTTATCCAAAAAATTTTGGAATGCTAAAGAAATTGAATGAACCATACAAAAATAAGTGTGAATTCAAATTATTTCACAACTAAACATACTACAAATGTAAATACTTATACATACATACATAAGAACTCAACGACCATAAGAAGCATAGGCAAGCGTACTTAGTTCGAAAATATTTGCAAGAATTATAAAGATGGCATGAAAAGGCAAGAAAAGAATTGATTGCTTTCGAAATGGCACTACGTACATTTTGAATCCCCGTTTTCTTATAAAAGTACGCTTATTTGAATTCCAAAGAGAGTAATTGGCAAAAGAAGTGATGGATTGAAAGTAATGCATATGGAAATTTGTGTTGTGAAAATTTTAATTAAGTAAACGTCTTAAAAAATTAGTGAAAGGGGTCAGATCATATGGAGTGTATTAAGGTTATTACGAGTATATAGTTTCACTTTTTTTAATGATGAATGGTGAAAACTGTATAGCGGGTAATGAAGAACTAGAGTAAATGGCAAGGAAGAGTGACAAATGCTTAGGCAGAAGACACACTACGCTGTCAAATATTTTCGGAACACTCTCTAATTTTCTTCTTGGATGTGCTCTGCTCGGACAACATAAAATCTAAGAAACGAATGAGAAATAAGAAATGTGCGTAAATAAAATTTATGTTGGATCTTTTATGCTGTTTCGACAAGACTTCAAAATTTAGAACCAATTTTGTCCGTACATCACGTACTCGTATCCATCGTATCCCTCGATTTTGGAATTATAAATTTCATACCTCGAATTTTAAATGTTTTATTTTACATTTTGTTGTTCGCTCAGGCACATAGGCAGGCTGCTCATATCGAAAAATTTACTTTAACATACATATTTAGATCACAGAAACGTTAGTCGCTTGATCTGATCGCATTGACCCCTGAGCAGAAACAATAATATTTACATATGCATGTATATTTATGTAGTAGATAAGAAAAATTAATTTAAAAAAAAATTTGATTCGTTTAGCTTCCGAGAAGCCTGCGTACTTATTATGAGCATATAATTTTTAATTAAAATTAATTGTACATTAAAAAAAATATATATATATAATTAATGTTACGAAATATTAAAAATTTGCACCTAAATTGGCATACATACATACATACATATGATACATTGAACTTTCTGGTTGAAACTGTCACTAGTATATTATAGAGCATATCAAAAATTACAAAGGCAACACAGTTAGAGATGTGTTCATTAGTCATTGTTTATTTTGAAACACTTGAATATGCCATATATCGAGCTAACTAAACTCAATGACCCGTATCACGGTGAACTTGTATTTTTATGGCTCGCATTATGGTCTTCTGCCCACTGTTTTTGAAATTTATCATACCCTAGTCAATTTTTTAGTCAAATTTTTAAACCTCACTTTATGTTAATGTACAAACCACATATATGTGCATACATACATATAATCGAATTTTATCTATGCATATGAAATTGTTGAATAATTTTAGTAATTTATGTGTAACTGAACTGTAGTACCTTAATGGCAACTTGTTTGAGAGTTGTCGAAAGTCCCAGCCTACATAAGTTTTCCAACACTATCACTCACTAACTATCATAATCCACATGCTCATTATTATCCATGTACCTAAAAGTTGTTGTTAATGAAATAACGAAGTACAATTTATGATTTTAAAGAGAACTGTAGAGCAGTTAGAAATTTTGAGGAATTGTTTTTTTTTTTTGTGTATTGTAAGCATGGAGATTTGGCAATGGGATCTCGTTCGCATATTTATTTCTTAGCTAGATATAGCTACACTAGTTAGGCAACCAGCTCGTGTACAACTAGTGTTCGTTCGATACCACCATGTACTCGATGCCTGTNGTGTATTGTAAGCATGGAGATTTGGCAATGGGATCTCGTTCGCATATTTATTTCTTAGCTAGATATAGCTAGACTAGTTAGGCAACCAGCTCGTGTACAACTAGTGTTCGTTCGATACCACCATGTACTCGATGCCTGTACTCATTAAAAGTATCGAAGAGAATACTCGATGCTACTCAAAGTATCGCTAGGAAATACTCGATTCCACTTGTACTNGAATGGGGCTACTTGGAAGTGCTGAAATAGGAGATGGTAAGTAATGAGAAAGCTCATTGTTTACTTGTGTTTGATTCTTCGGTTTCANACATACAGTGGATAAAAGCTTATAAAGAGCTGAAAATACCTTTTCATATCCTTTTATTTTGGAATGGGGCTACTTGGAAGTGCTGAAATAGGAGATGGTAAGTAATGAGAAAGCTCATTGTTTACTTGTGTTTGATTCTTCGGTTTCAAACCGATCTATAGACGACGCTTCCGCAAATCATAGGCTGGCTCCACATCCTCCTCTAATTCGATACGATTTTCGTTCTCCACTTTCGTTAGTTCTAACCCAGCGAAATCGAGTGGTTCACATCTTGAATCGTTTTTTTTTTCCAAAAACTACAACATATTAGGAGAAGCTCAGCCAAACACTAACATATGTGTAAGCGCCAATCTATTATATTATTATTACAACACAGATCTATTTTCAGTTGATTTTCCCAAATTTAGCAAAC